GATTCGAGAGCACATCGAATCTGATGCCGGGTCTCGTGTTTGCCGTCAATATTCTGTTAATACTTTCAGCGGCGCGAACGGGAACTGTGCTCTTCTCGACCACTATTTTGCTTTTATTTGAATAATTGGCTATAAGTCGGGCGACGTGTTCCAGATTCTGAAGATCAGCCGCTTTTCCTTTACCAAAACCAAACGTTTTGGTCGGAGTATTGACTGATATGAAGATAATGTCCGCCTTTTCGATCTCTTCCTGGATATTATTCGAGAAGAAGAGGTTAGTTCCGCGACATTTGCGGACAATATCGTCGAGTCCGGGCTATGAGTGAAATGCAAAACCAATTGAATTAAATGTAAAATTCAATGAAGAGAACACATGAAGACAGACCTCATAAATGGGCAGTTCGTCTGAATTCCATTTAGCGATTCTCTCGGCGTTAGAGTCGACGACACAGACCCTAATGTCGGGACAATTGCTGGCGATTACAGTACAAGTCGGTCCTCCGACATAACCCGCGCCCACACAACAGATCCTCTCCACAGTCATTATTGGTAGCGAAGTATGAGTTTCGATGAATGAATGAATTCAATGCCAGGAATTCTCTGACTTTTATATGAGAAATATTAATATAAATATTAGCAAAAGTAGTGACGAAATAATGATTACAAGTGAAAAAAATTATATCTGGAAAGTCATATAAAATGAGACGTCAAGCGAAAGATTTATTTAATTCATTACAAACAGTTCTGTGAATACAATTAAAGTGATATCTAATAATCGGATAGAAAACGGATCTGCAATAAAAATAAATATACTGTATAATGACTTAACACTAAATAACTACTACTCTATGAACTAATATTGCAACGATAGAGGCTATCGGAACAGACAATCAAATTGTATTTAATACACGACAACAACAATATAATCATATGCTATACCATAATAAGGATCCGTTGATAACACATTTGATTATCTAAACACCACTACCACTGAAGCGATGGCTTAAATAGATTTAGAATATGGTTGAAAATACATGCATTTTGTGGGCATTTAGTGTTGGAATTTGGCGTTTGAGACGCCCTTCTCGTCGAGTCTATGAGAACATTGTGTTTACAATAAAGAGTGGATCTCTTGTGCACAGACTCTGCAGAC